CGCACGGAACAAGAAACTCGATCGCCAACCGAGCTGCCTCGTCCAATCCACGGGTCATGTCGGTCCGATAGAGTTCATCCGCATCCCGTGCTTAACTCAAAATCGTTCCATATCCAGTGTCCGGGTGTTCCAAATTTCATTTGCTTCATTTGAATGCTATATGGGTATGGCTGGGAATTAGCTTACATCCGGTTGAGGGTTCCCCGATGACGTAAGGCATCTCCTATTATTGATCCAAAACGTGGCACTTTGAAATTCGAAAGGTATCCCTTTATTTATTTATTTTCTCTTAATACTAATTAGAAATCAAATCAGAGCTCTTTATGTCTGTCGAAACGTTATTTCCCGCAAAGCGGATCCCGCGGGACGCGGCTGTGGTCGAGTTTATACTACATTTCCGAATGTGCGTGTCTCTCTGTCTGCCCTTTATGCACGGCCGTGCATAAAGGCCTCTGGTCCTCGTCTGATCGAACTTTGCTTGGCTTCCTCATTTGGTCCGGGGATGGTCATAGGCTAGGTGGCGTTTCATAATTGGACCCCTCCGGGGCAGGGCCAGCCTTGTATCTGTGAGGAGGGTCTGGCTGCCTCCGGGTGTACGTCTCCCTCTATCGGGCTCAAACAATTTTCCAACAGTCTACTTTCGAGAGTGTAATAGCCCTGGAGAGGGGGGGGGGGGGGGGGGGGGGCACAAACAAAAAAGATCTTTCGGGGGTGTAAAAGCCCTGGGGGGGGGGGGGGGGGGAGTGGCACGAACGAAAATGATGGAGCGGGCGTGAATCTCACCCGGGACCTCCTGATAACTAGTCAAGCGTACTACCACTACACTACCGAACCCGAAACGTTGGGCGAAGCTCTACATGCCATCCCTAACGGAAGAGAGAGGCATTCTACGCTAACACCCCGCTCCCTACTTAGGGGTGGTGCGACGTGGACTTATCCGCAGGGACGTGCAAAACGTCCATGCATACGTCAACGTCCACGCGGAGTCCCCTTTCATCCCTGGAGGAAAGATGACTTCCTCGCCGGGATGAGAAGTCTGCCCGTATACTTTTCGGGATCCCGACCCCTTTATCGATCGGGACCCCGTCCTCCTATCATCGGCACCCTCACAATGAGAGTGACACCTGAGGGTGAAAAAGGCGGAATCCGACCTGTATGGAACATGAGCTTTGATGACCTTTTGATCGGAGAGACGACGTCGGCAGCGTCGTAACCATCCCGTTCCTCTATCCGTCCTTTCCACTCATAGCCTCATATGAAAACTGGTGGAGATGGACTTCACGGACCATACGCTGTTTCGCGATCGATAAATGATCGATGATCGATGAATGCGAGTGCCACTCATTAAAAGTCCGTACCCCCGACCTAGGCCCGAGTTTCGTACCCCCGACCTGAAGTTCTTGGAAGTCTTCCAAGGGTCGGCTAGTATGTGTATACTTCGATCCAAGCATCCTTTGAATTTGAGAGCGATTTCAGCATCGTTCTTCAGTATTAAATTGTGTAGTTTAGGCGATTTTCACCCCCAAATGCGACGAGAAAAAAAAGACAACAATCTCGTCGCAGAAAGTTTGACTCCTCTTTCAGGTGCAGCGATGAAGCAAATTACCTGTTCACTTCTGGTCCGTACTTCTGCACATAGAGGAAATTTCTTGATCAAAATTCCCTCTTTTCATTGTCATCCTCGGCGGAGTTTTTTTTTAAGTGGTGGGGCACTTACGGAATCAATAGCAATGTCATTATGAATACGAGATTGAGTTCCTTCCATTTTTTTCTCTCAATTGGAGGAATCGCTCCATCCATTTAAATTCATTCATTTGTCATCTCTTGGAGACGGCTTTCGTGAGCGTGTTCCGAATGAATGGAAAATAAATAAATGGGTTTCAATCCTGGAAAATTCTCAAAACTCGTTCAGAAATTCTCCTGGTTTACGGGGAGAACGTGACCATTTACTTTGAACCAAGAAAATCCAAGGGATTTTTGAGGAAATTATCTGATGTGAAAGAAAATTAATTTCTTATTCAAACAAAACTTGGCGAGGTAGGTCGAAAGGAGTCTTTGGATAAATATAATCAACGTATGAAATTCATTATTCCTTTTCCATGCCCTCAAACGAGGATGTTTTACAAGTGCGGAGTCTATAAAAATGATCTATATATACAGGGTGGGGCAGGTAAATTGGGACAAACTATAATGGAAATTAAAAAGACATGTTTTGCAAGCAAAAATCAATATATTGAAATGAAAATTGGCACATCGAAGAAAGGAGGGAGGCGCATGAGCGAAGGAAAGGCCCTTTAAGAGCAAGGCAGAGCCACGATGCAGCCTCAGTTCCGGCCTCCTGCCCCCATCGCTCTTCTCTCTTCTGACTGTGCTCTCTGGTGCATCCCCGAAAGGTATAAACAAAATCGGGCGGTTCTGTAGATTTTGGTGCCAAGAAAAGCCAGGTCGAACGGGAAGACGCTCAGACGTAAGACGACTTCCTGTCAACCCAGGATGCGGCATAGTCGATCGAACGACACACGTGAGCGACTCGAGCTGCAACATGATAGTAAAAGGTGGCACACCGCTTTTACTAATAGGATGACGTGTCTCTGATGAAATGCATTCGTGCATTGCTTCTACAGTTCGAGGACAGCGTGAGAAAAAGGAATATTTTCGAGAATCCAAGATGAAAATTATTTGATTTATTGATGATCCTGTTAATTGGGCTCATAAAATGAACCTCATTAATCATTAAGCAGAGGTAGATTGGTTGAGCTTATTTGGCTCTTTATTGTCATCGTCCGCGAAGAAACTGATGCATGGTCTTCATAACCTTTTTGCTAGGGGGATACAACCTTAAGTACAAATAGAACAATTGTAAGATATATACAATTTAAACCTTAATTCAACCTGTATACAGTACTGCATTAGTATTTTGTGTGACCCTCATTGGCCCCACGTACAGCCCTCAAATGTTGAGAGTATAATTTCAAGAAATTTTCAAAAAGTTATGTTACGATTTCCATTTAATGAAAAACATTTCGTAAGTTTTGCAGGACAAAAGCTTCAGAAATTCGGTCCGAACCAAGCACACTCATCATCATACTTCCTATCTTTTCCTAAAAGCATTCATCCCTTTCTTGATACGGTATCGTCGTCTGATTAGCTTTCAAACCACTTTGAAATGACTTTTGCAACTCGGCCGCAGCTTTTTTTTCATGATTTTTCCCACTGTTCTCCATCGCAATGTTTTTTTTTTTTATCTCACTTTAGACAATTTTTCCGGCCTGCCGTCATCAAATTTCGTAAAACTAGATTTGTATTCTTTGTTCCAGTTGTCAGTAACTCAATCTCTCACTGCGATTCGGTGCTGAGATATTCACTTTCAATTGATAAACTTTGCGCCTGCTTCCCTTGTTTCTCGATAGGCGTATGCTCGAATGCGGTCTGTCACACGATGCCTTTCGCCATCGCCAACCACCCCATAATTTCAATGAAAAATAAGAAATGATGATGAAATTATCGTTTAAAATACGAATAACACTAATTTTTTATACTCCATAATTGCTGTACCCCCCCCCCCCACCGCAAAAGTTTATGCATGATCCTGTTTGGTTTTAATAATTTTAAACTGCATCCGTCGTATCGCCACCTTTGGGCTCAATATACACAATTAAAATATGGAGATTTCCCTTTCTACAAGGTGTTCCCAAAAATAAACTGCTAATTCGTTTTTTGCAAGAATGATAGTAAATTTTCTCCGATCGATAAAGTATTTCAGAAACGGCACGTGGATAGAAGAAAGAAGGTCTTTGACTTCCTGCGCCCCCAAAATAGAAACATCAGGGAAAATGCAAACTTGAGCTCATCCCTTAACCTTTCGAGAAGGGAGAAGGATGTCATTATTAATGCAGTGGTTTTTAATGCATGCGAGCTTCCATGACAGCTGATTTAATGTTCATCTAAATTCCTTTTAGAGACTAGTGGTACCCAATAATGCATGGAATTCCCATGTGAGGGCAGAAGCTGATCCATGAAAAGGTTTTATGACAGGTAGCATTCTCGAGGAAGTCACGGGTCTATCATGCCGAATCCTCATTCACAAAACAACTAAACTCACGTTAGTCACTGACGAAGCTCATTTCAAGCTTAATTGCTATCCGGTTCATCAGTGGCGGAGTTCCTCGAGCCAACTAGTGTGAAGAACCCCTCATTTATGAAAAGGCCTGTAAGCATTACCTCGGCGACTTTCAATGTGATCTTGCTCCAAATCCCGATGCATATCATCAGGAGGGACAAAATTCGATATAGCATCCATCGTCTTCCATATCATTTTCCTTCCTTCAAAGGTATCTCTTTCGAAGGGAATTCTTGAAACCAAGGAATGACATCGTCTCGGATGAGGTAGCGGCTTATCTCAATTCTTTCTCCTTGCTGCCTCCTTTGCGACCATTTTTCAACTTCTCGGATCACTTCGGACGCCTTAAATTCTTTCACGGTTTGTACAGGTAGAATGATTAAAGGTCCCTCTATTTAGGATCGAGAAATATGAGCGGGTCAACAGTACTAAAAACGCTTCAACGATCGAGATCACAGGTCATTCCCCTCTCCTGGATGTACGTAGATGTTTATGCATGCATGCATGAGTGGATGCTAACTTCATTAGTTTCTGATGCGACTAAGGCGGATCTCATATTCGGAGGCGGTGAATATTCATTGACCTCATTTAAGTTCATTCCCCCGCCCCCTTTTTTTTTATAAGCATGGCAATAATAAGGGAATGTAGATAATGTGCTTCTAGGTTTACCTCTCAAATTTTGCTACTTTCATGAATGTATTATTACATTTCAAGGTATTCGTTCATTGCCCACAGAGTTATCGAGCATTTGTGACTGTATGCATCTCTTCCTTTCGATGCTTTGCTCATTTAAAATGGCAAGTACTCCCAATATATCTCACCACTCAAGTCGCTATGACCATGAAGCCTCTTCGAAGCAATTGACACGATGAGGGCAAAGATGCCCACTCTCACGCTCTTCACACTCACCGTGATGCTGCCCAATGTGACGGCGGGAACCGAGAACGCGACCGACTGGACGTGCACGGCGTGCGAGTGCGAGTCTGACAGGCTGGCGTGCACCACGCCGGACACCCTGGATGCAACCCCGCTTGCCCCAGTGCCCGAGGGTGTCACTGAAATGTGAGTTTCTCACTGATTTTGGATCTTTACTATTGTTCCATTTTTCTTCCTTAAAAAAAAATGACTTTTGCGTCAGTCACACTGTGAATCAATATGCATCTCCAAAAACGTTTGAATAATTCATAACATTTTGAATTTTTTTTTAATAGTTTGTCTCTTTTAACCATCAGTTGCATTGTGCCCAGATTTCTATAAACTTCTTGACATACATTTAACATCCCCGATTCTGCACAACTTTTAAGTCTGCATATTTCCAATATTTGCAGACGTTAGAAATTAGAGACGTTTAGCCTTACCTCTCTGCAGTGTCTCCCGTATGTATTCCAGATGATACCGAACGGGATCGTATCTTATGGCTATATGTGGGTCTGTCATTTTTTTAAATAATGAGCATGGAATACATTTGTCGTAAAAGTTGTGAACATTTTTTAATACAATGGCTCCTTGAATCATTTAGTCCACAACCGTGGCCATTCGCGAAAACCTAACGGCGCATTAGGCGAACATCACGCAGGCCCAGCATAGTTTGAAGCCATATTGGTTCCATGTTCATGGTCTTCGTCCTGAACTTGTTACTCGGACCATCTATTTGTATCCTAACGAGAAGGAATCCTTTCAGCTGATATCTTCTCATGTTTTCCGAATGGAGGCGCATGCGTTGTCCACTCATTCGCTGGTTTGTTGTTGCTTTTCGATTTGCATGTTTCAGGAGAAGGCCATCTTTTTTTCAGATGTTCACAGACCGATAGCATACACCTGATGAAAGTATCAATATCCAATATACCCTCAGGACCTGGAATTCCACATTCTAATACCATTTTTTCATTCCATTCTTTCTCCTTCCATTCTGCTATTCTTCTCTTAAATCATGGGTATGAGTGTCAGATAATCACTTGTACCTGAATAGAGTTTTCATGAGAGGAACGGAGGCATCATCGCTGTTTTTCCTTGTTTTCAATGGATTAGCATTTATTCCAAAACATGGTAAATATTGGTTTTTCTGAACAGAACACTTTTCAATTCTCTGAAATAGAGAAAAATGCGAATTTTCGAAATTACAATGGCGCGACCAACTGAAAAATGACCTTTCCTCTCCGCTTCTCATGAGCGTCACACAAGCAGCTGGCAGTTGTCTCGCAAGGTTGCCACATGTCGTCTCCTTCTTGAGTTCCATTAGCTTAATGTCTCAGGGTTGTCTACTGGAAGAAAAACCTTCCCGCTTAAGGTTCATACTATTCTGCTCTCTCGCGCGTAGGCGTGATGGCACGGGGAGTCGCATCGGGTGATGAAATTTTGCATAAGCAGCCTCTCAGTCCTATATCAATTATGTATGCATATTGGCGTAAAAAGGAAGGTGCAATAAACCTCACGAGAAAATCCTATAATATTCCTATAGTATTCAATAAGAATCCAATGATAATTTTATGTTTCAACAATCTCATAGGGTCCCCCAATCGCCATATGCAGGCATATCCCCAATTGGGACAGAATTGATCGAAATCACGATATCGTGATAATTGGCATACCCCTTTAATGACAAGAATAAGCTGCAGTGTTAAACTCATTATCACTGGTAAATTGAGTGTTGCTAAGATGCTAATGTGTTGCTAAGATAAAGAAACGTCTAAATCCCATTTCAGTATTCCTGCTTCGCTGCTTCTTATGCAACAAAGGACTTATGTTTCTAAAATGTACAAGTGAAGTGCCTGTTCTTTTCTTGATGACCATTTCGAAATCAAATTTCAAACATTTTGATATCGAAAGCTTTCCGCATTGTGTTACAATTCTGATGTGAACCTTGCCTTGCTTCAGGGAAATCCGGGACCAGAGAGACCTCGTGACCCTGGACGATGGCGTGCTGTCTGCCTATACAAACCTGGAGAAACTGTACTTCATTTCATTATATTTAAACAAATATTTTCCAGTTTATTCGCCCTTTGAAAAATTGATATAAACTTTCAGCTTACTTTTCGCCGAGGCGTGCGATGGCTGACCTTTGACGCAACGTGTAAAATCACGTAACCGCTGGCAAAGTTCCTATCTCCTGGCGGAGCAATCATTAGGATATATAGGCAACTTTCCCCACAATAACCGTCAAAAATAAAGATCCTGAAATGCCATGGAAACCCAATTGAGGGACGTCTCGCTCATCTCGTGCGTCATCCAAAGTTGCTTCTCTTCCCAGTGATTTATGGATTTATGTCAATAAATCCAAATCACTGGACTGAAAAAGTTGCGCATCTCAGGAATATGTAGCAGGTAATTTCAAGAAATTAAATTATTCGTTAAGGATTGCACCTTCCTTACCAATATTACATAATGAAAATCGTTTGCATGCGTGACGAACCACACTCAAGTTAGTTTTATTTATTAAAAAAGGTGCATGGTGTAAACAGTAAGCTTTTGAAGACCGAAAGATCTGGACTGACACCCGAGGGTGTGTGGGCAGGCATGTGTCCATAAGTGAGCTTGCACGCACGTGCGCGTGTCGGGCAGGACTCGAATTTGTTCGTGTCTATCTCAGACGACTTAGCGTATTTTTCCCCCAGCCGCACTCTCAATTTTCTTGTCTGGCACCATTCCGAGGCACTGTTAGAACCTCTTAATTGAAGCAGAAAGCAAGATGGGCCAATCAAAAAGTTCATGGATTTATTTTTATGCCAGGACAACCATATCGTCCGATGAAAGGTGATATGGCCCCCTTGAAAGTTCTCCCCCCATGAGTCAATGCGTATATTCCCAGGGGAGCAGAATTACTTCTAAGTTTGCAGTGCGTCTTATTGGAGAGTCTTCAGGTCTTCTGTCGTGGAACTCGTGCTTACATAAGGATCGGCGTATTCCTTCTTCGACATTATATTGAGCCGCGGAAAGAGGAAGCAGTCACACCACCCAAATTAATGTGATAATGAAGTGGAATTTGAAAAATGTGGGTACAACGATGACGCATGCATGAACGTCTCTTTCTACCGGGATTTTCACGATGACCTCATTATTTGGCAAAATTTGGCATAATGCTTGATGACTGATATCAGCCAGCCACTATTTTCACTGGAATCATCACCGTACGGCTGTTTCCTCCTCCTCCGGCTCGATTCCCTGTCGAACGGTAGAAGTTTGTATGACTGGGACTCGAACTGCAGGCCCTTTCCATGAGACGGGCTGCAGGCGACACGAAACAACGCCAGCTGGAACGAGTGCATGGGCTCGCAGGGCACAACGTTCAAAGGGGACCGTGTGACGTTGGAGTGTAATGGACGGGTACCTCGAGAAGAAAAAAATCAACCAACTTTTTGATCGGTCTTCATCATAGGTCCACATATTATCAGCGCCGACGCACATTTGGGGGAGGTGTCTTTCCATTGTGGGACATGAATTTCCTTGCCTCAAAGGAAAACACGAAGAATGCATTTAAAAAATGAACCTCATTATTTGGCTTCCATGTGTAACCTAAAATATATTTGTACTTCTATGATCATGGAACGCTAGAGTTTTGAAGATTTGACTTTTTCAGGATTCTCACGGATTCGGGTCTTCGGAGTCTCGGCAACGACACCTTTGCCGGAAATCTCCTTCTCCGCCATTTGTAAGCCAATTTCAGCCAATTTTCATTTTTGTGTAAATATAAGACACTGGCAGGGTGGAGTGATTTGATCGGTTTTTTTAAACCTCTAGCTGCAATGGGCACAATAGTCATCAAATATATTTTGGTTCCAGCCACAGCACAAAATTATTAAGAGCAACGATTTCAGAATTTCAGAAAATAGCAGTTGAGTGGAGAGGTGAACGAAAGGGAAATGGGAATAAAGAAATGCACTGCATTTTGACCAGAGATATTTCAGCTGATATTCGAGGCTGGAGGAAAGAGCGAAAGACCTTTCCCTTTTCGCCTGTCATCTAACTGCAATTCTTTTGTATTGAACTTTTCCCACTGGAGCCGATGTGATTTCCCAAATACCTCGAGCGGGCTTTGCTCCCTAGAAAAAATATCCACAGCGGACTTTACGATTTCCGAATCATTCATTGGAAAAAGCTATCACAAAAAGCCCATTTCAGGAAGTCCGCGGCTCTTCCAATTTCTTGAAGTGAGGTCACTCCAGAAAGTGTATTTCGTCCCATGTTCTGCAGAGACCTGTCCGGGAACGAAATCTCGAGTTTTCCCTGGTGGATTGTGTCGCACCTCAGTTTAGAGCGACTGTGAGTTTCCTTTTCCTCACATGTATTTCGCATGCAAATAATGGCCTAATTTCCTTAATGCTCGCGCAATTATCCTAGCCGCACGAGGCCTTCGGCTTAATTACACTAATAACGTGGAGGTTCCTCGATTACCTGACAAAATGTTTCCACAAGGATCAATTATAAACGATAGCTTCCGGAATCTGCATTTTGGGAGTCAGCGAATTCTCCATGAATGTAGCCCGAAATGCCTAGGCCGAAGATGAGAAACACACTCTTGGAAAAAAGCGGGCGATAACTCTATTTTTCCTCTCTTTTTTCCTCCTCCCTCTCTTTTTTAGTCTTGAATAATAAATTTAAAAAGGCCAAATTAGAGTTTTTTTTCTCTCTCTCTCCTCAGAGTAAAAGGGAGGGAATCTGAAATCAGAGTTTCGTAGAGTGCAAAGTTGAACTTGTCAGAGAGAAGAGCTGAATTTTTCATATTCTTGTGGCAGTGGGCGGCTCCCGAGAAGCTCAATAATTGATGGACGTCAGTTTTGCGTCAGTGGGTTTTCCGTCTCTGCAATATGTTAACCTACTTCCAGCGGTACACAAAAAAACTCCCCGGCTTAAGCGAGACCACGAGGAAAATAGCGAAGCGAATGCTTCATAAAACTTCTCAGAGAGTCATAAGAGCCGCAAAACGCAACCATTTCCCTGAAGAACATAATCGCCTCGAAGAAAAGACAGCGCCGAGAGAAACGCCATCCATGCATATTCAGCCACCCACAGGAAAATTATATCCGAGGAGGAAGCGGATCCGGTTTCGCATCCTCCTGAGACCTGGCGGATGCGAAAACTTCTATCATCACCTCAACATTCATGGCGCTGCCTGAGGAAATGAGATTTCACGCGTTCGTCCTTCATTCCTTATCATCAAATGAGAAGGCGCAAATCTCCATACCATAGGATTCTAATTAGTGAAGTCCGTGGACCGTTCCGGGGGTGTCTACCATGGATGCCGTAATCAGGCAACTCGATGGAATTCGTACGAGAACTTCACGTCATTCTTCCTTCGTTAAATTTGCTTCGATCGAACTACGTCGGCCGCGCTCGTTTTCCTCAGGTTTCATCTGCTGCTATCCTCAGCGGGACGAACGTAACGTAGAATTCGAGGGAACGTAGAATCCCATGCAGGCAAGATTAAGTGGTTCATGAGCTGGAGTTTCTCTTCGATGGATTTCTGAAGGACCCTCGACGGAGATGTCGGAATTGAATCCATTTGTCGCACAGGCCCGAGCGGCGATTCCCATCCGTCGGAAGATAACGCAACTCCTTACTTCGCATCAACAATTCGTCCGTTTTAAATTGCACCACTCGGATTTAAGACGTTTCCGGTTCGATAGTGTCATTTTTCTCTCACAAAATTATGACAAATGTTATTGCTAACATTCAAGTCCTAAGACCTTTTCGAAAACATATTTGTTCATGAGTTTATGAAGTTCATTAAATATTTAATTTTTTCTGAATAAAAAAAGAAATGAAATTACCGTTTCATGTTGCCCGCAACATCCATTAACAAACAAATCGCAAGTCAAAACGACGGACGGAACTCTTCTAAGGTAAAAAAAAAAAACATGGACCCTCAGTCGTTTAACGGTTCCTCATTAATCTATGGAACTCTCTATCTATGGAACTCTATCTCGTCGATATGAGATTACAGGAGTCAAGCCATTAGCTTTCTGCGTTCTTTCCATGCCCTTCGCGACAGCTGCGGATGAAAGTCTGATGAAGATCACGTGATAATGCGCGTTGACGACAAAATCAATGGAAATCTGGGGTAAAATACATTTCTTCTCGAGATGATGATATGCAATAGTGGTAGTGATAACATTTTTTTCAGCAATATTCATCGGAATTAAATTACGACCGAGGCTTTCCTTGTTTACGTGACCCTTTGAAGGCCGGAATGAAAACGACTGGAAAATCCATTTTCTTCTTCGCAAGATGGGACGAACCGGGAGAATTTAATAGGAAAGGGGCAGGGAAATTAACCGCTTTCACTATGCACTTTTTCCACGCAACCTTAATTTCCCTATCGATTAAAAATTTTCTCCGCGTCAACAGACCAAGTGCAAAATAAATATATCGAAAAGATTAAAAATATCTGATGAGCTGATGAGGATATGTTCATTATTTGAAACGGAGAGCCTAACCCCGCGATCTCTTTCGATTCCATTGGACAGGGAACTGCGTGGGAATCCACTGGAATGCGTCTGCTCGAATTCCTGGATCCTCCAAAGGAACACCCGTCGTCAGGGCTCTTTCCAGGGACGCGCCGTCGAGGGAGGGAAGACTTGCCAGATCCTGGACAGCATCTGCGGTTAGTTCCTTGTTAGATGGAATGTTGGTGAACCTGAATTAGCGTCGGCTAATTTCGGCTTCACCGTTAATCGAACGTTAATCGAACGTTAATCGAACGTTAATCGAACGTTAATCGAACGTTAATCGAACGAAACTGAAATCGGTTTTTCGGCTCCCCGTTCGGAAGAACTCCGACTCCGTATTCCAAGTCCGATCGTAGAAATGACTCTTGATGGATTTTTCCATTTAGCCGTGCCTGAGGTGAAGGTGCATCCGGAGGTGATCTCGGTGAAGGAGGGCGAGGCCTTCGAGGTCAACTGCTCCGCCGTGGGGAAACCCGTTCCTCAGGTAATGCCAATGCAGTTTTTGGTACGATCGGTACCTTTGGGAAACAATGTTTTTGTGCTTCGTATAGTATTTTTGACGCCCTCAGAAGTTGGTACGACTCAACGAAGCGGTAAATAAAACTTCTACTCTTGAAATATAGATATTTTTCTACGAAAGAGGAACAATTGATCCTTTCAGTCTCGGCAGGACTCGGGAGGACATTCTTATTCGCATACTTCCGAGGGTAATACATGATTCCCCGTGACTGAATTTCGAATTGGCACATTTCCGGTTAATGTTTCATTGTAGATGGCCGCACGAAGAAAAATCCTTTTTTTTTGCACTATTACAATTTTTTTCCGATTCGGGACAGAGACGGAACCGATCCGGTCCTCCAGATCAGCCCGATTCTCATCGAAAAAGTAAAGTTTCGACGACCCAAAATTGCTGAATGTGCATCGACAGCCTCCTCACGGTTCCTCACGGTTTCAATTGCCCGTCGATTCCGCGGATGCTCTCAGTTTCCCAGAGATTCGAGCGGATCTTGAAAGATACCCTTTTGAATGCAGTATTTGGCAGGGGGAATCGCGGAAGTCGCACGAATCGGCTTTTTTTTACCGTGCAGATTATTTGCAATGCATAGTTGTGCTGTTTCCGATAAATCCCGAGTCTTCTTCGGATAATCCCAGCGGAAAGATGATCATCTCCAATCGGAGTTTTTAATTTATTTGGGATGTCATACCGAAAAACCGAAAAATCAGTAATCGGGTAGATACGCATTGTGAAATCTGAAAGCTACGACGCCAATTATCTGCTCTGCATTTAATTTCTTCTAATAAAATAACTCAGTCTGCATCCATTCTCAATCTGCTGGAAAAGCCGTTTCACACTTCGTATTTTGCACGTGGCGCGTACACGCACGCGACATACGTGTCAGTTTTCGCATTTGCATGTGGACTGAACTCCGAACGTCAACGGTAATTTTCCTTCTTTCACGCACAGATCACGCCCATAAGGGCATGCACGTGGACTCACTTGGGTCCCACCGCGCGAACGTGCGACACGCAAAAAACGCTGCGCGTGAAACGGATTTGATTCGGAATTTCTTCGTCAGCAGGTTCTGGGCGTTCAACAGCAGAGGCCAAATGAAAATTTATATCACGAAATTCGGAGGTTTTTAGCGCTTCGCACAGCGCATAATTCCGCTGGAGATCCTTGTCCTCTTCATCCGCCTTTTTTTTTGGAATTTCATTCTGCGAAATCGATGAGGTCCCGAGTAAATTGATAAAATAAAAAAAAATAAAAAAAAACCCTCCATCTTCATAGAAGAAACTTCGAAACCTGATTGTTCCATTAAAAATTTTTCGAGCCAAGGCCGAACAGAGATACGCAGCAGAGCCATGATGGAAACATTATTTTTGCGGACCGACGATGATACGCAATATATGTTAAATGGCTTATGGTTAACCGACCGTGACAACGGAGTGATGCCGATCCAGGCGAAAGAGACGGGGCGGATGAATCCACGTGTGATCCGATGCGGCCCAAAGGAGGAAATTATTCCCAGAGACTCAGCTCATCTTGGGGGGGGGGGGGGGGGGGGGGGGGGGGGGGGGGGGGGGGGGGGGGGGTTGGGGGGGG